CAAAAGAAAATTTCAACAAATTGAAAAATTTGACACATAAAATTTCGACTCATATACAGGTTTTTAAAACGAATACATAGGGGGGAAATCGGGACTTTCATTTTACTTTGACACATCTCGAAAATTGGCAAATGAAATTTGACTCATAGAAGTTCTACTTTGTTACCAAAATCATTAAAAAAAGACTAAAAAAAATGAAAATTTCAAACTATCTTTCAATCATTAACACCAGCTGATCTAGCTATACCAGTCAAAACTCAAAATATACTCCATGAAATGTCTCCTCAGTGAAATATATTTTGATCTTTTACTGCAATAAACAAATATCCTGTATAAGTATTAAAGAATGCCATCAAAATTATTGACATACCTTACTAACAGAATTGTCTCCTTTCTCATCAGTGACTTCTGCCAGATCACATGTGCACATTTCATACTGTTTATATATAAACAAAGATATATAAGCAAATCATCAGTGACCATCACATTTACATGTTTACATACTTAACAAGTCAGAGCCGGCAAAATCTGATTTTAAGTTGTTCGTTTTGTCGGAAACATATTTCTACTTGTCTGTATGATATTTATAATTTAAATTCTGGAAAAATTTCCCTTGTGCGTGTAAGCTGTGGGACAACTTGGGCAATAAGGACAATTGATTTTGCCGCCCCTGAATGAGTAAGGAGGATTAAACAAGATTGCATTTGAGAAAATGCTATGCCACCGCATGGTTCAAATTTCATAGCTGTACACCAAAGGACAAGAAAGTAGGTCACATCATCAAAATCTAGGTCACCTGATAACAAAGTTCAATTTTACAACTAAAACTGTGCACATGGTCAAAATGTCATTGCTGTACATCAAAGGACAAGAAAGTAGGTCACTGTCCCCTTGGGCAAGGCATAATTTTGACCCAAGGGTTCAATTCAAAACAATTTTGATACAGGTCCACCAAACAACATTTCAAGTCAAATATCTAAGCTATAGCTTTCTCCCATTCAGAAAACATTTGTTTTATTTTCTGTTTTTACTATGTGTACAAAATGAGAATCACTGCCCCCGGGCAGGGCCAATTTTGACACCAGGGGAAAATTTTGAACAACTTTGGTAGAGGACCTATAAATGATATTATATATCAAACATCAAAGCTCTATGCCTTGTACCTTCAGACAAAAATATTTTTTATTTTTTTCACTATTTGTACATAATGAAAATCAATGACCCCCGGGGCGGAACCAATTTTGACCCCAGGGCTATAATTTGAACAATCTTGCCAGAGGTTCACTACACAATGTTTCATGCAAAATATCTTAACTCTAGCCTTTGTAAATTTAGAGAAGATGATTTTTTAAGTTTGTACTATATACATATAAGGAAAACCTATGGCCACCAGGGGGCGGGGCTAATTTTGACACAAGAGGCAAAATTTGAATAACTTTTGTAGAGTACCTTCAGATGATATAATTTAACAAATTTTAAAGCTCTAAGCCTTGTACCTTCAGACAATAAGATTTATTTATTTTTTACTATATGTATATATTGAAATCAATGACCCCAAGGGCGGGGGCAATTTTGACCCCAGGGCTATAATTTGAACAATCTTGCTAGAGGTTTACTACACAATGTTTCATGCAAAATATCTAACCTCTAGCATTTGTCAATTGCTAGAAGAATTTTTTTTGAAGTTTTTACTATAAGTTTTTACTATATACATATAAGGAAAACCAATGACCCCCGGGGCGGGGCCGATTTTGACCCCAGGGCTATAATTTGAACAATCTGGGTAGAGGTCTACCAGACAATGCCTTACACAAAATATATAAGCTCTAGGCCTTTTGGGTCTTTACAAGAAGGTGTTTTAAGTTTTTACTATATGTACATATAGTGAAAATCAATGACCCCGGGGCGGGGCCAATTTTGACCCAAGGGCTATAATTTGAACAATCTTGGTAAGGGTCTACCAGAAGATGCCTTATGCAAAATATCTAAGCTCTAGGCCTTTTGGGTTTTTACAAGAAGGTATTTTAAGTTTTTACTATATGTACATAGTGAAAATCAATGACCCTCTTGGCGGGGCCAATTTTGACCCAAGGGCTATAATTTGAACAATCTTGTTAGAGGTCTACCAGACAATGCCTTATGCAAAATATCTAAGCTCTAGGCCTTTTGGGTCTTTACAAGAAGATTTTTAAATTTATTCTTATAATTCCTTTTGGTTGCCATGGCAACCAGATTTCTGCATGGAATGAAATTCTTTGAACAACTTTGGAAGCCCTTCACCCAAGGAACAATCCTGCCAAGTTTGGTTGAAATTGGACTAGTGGTTTTTCACAAGAAGATTTTTTAAGTTCACTATATAATCTATATAACACACACACAAACACACACACAAACACACGCACACACACACAGGTGAATCGCTATATGCCACCGCATCGCAGATGCTGCGGTGGCATAAAAATAATTTTCAGTTGATGTCAGATTGCAAATGAACTTCTTTCATCATGTTGTAGAATTCTACAAACTAAGACTTAATAATATACGTGCAATTTTAGTAAAAATAAATTGTTTACACAATAATTTATAATAATTCATCTTAACTTTGTAAGCGTTATCTTACAAATGGCAAAAGAACATTTATAACAGGCCTGACTTATTCAAACCATGAAATCTACCAGCCTTACATGTATAACTATATTAAACTATGAAAACTCCTATGAAAAAACATGTTAAAATAAAGACTGATATATTAACCAACAAATAATTTATTATATGTTCACAGAGCCTGAGAGGGAATATTTCAGTAAAATCAATGCTACAGAGTTAAGGATCTTGAAAAAAGTGCCCATTTAGATTTTCAAGTAAAAATGTCCAGTGGTTAATGAGATGTGAAGTTGTACGCAAAAGTGATAAGCATCCCTGCTTGTTGCCACGGTGAGTGGGATAGCTCATTCTTGGTACAGCCATTGAAGTTCAAAATAATTTATCACAAATTGGTGCTTTTTAAGTGTAAATTAACTCAGCTAATTAAAGAATGAAAACTGTTAATTTAAAATGAAGCCAGGACTTTTTTTCCAGGATTTCTGGAACATGACATTGGGAATTTGTTTTGTTAAAATTGGGAAAAAAGAGGGCCATGATGGCCCTGAGGTCGCTCACCTGTTTATAGGCCCTGGAGCGGGGCCAGTTTAAACCCCAGGGCTTTTATTTGAACAAACTTGGAAGACACCCATTAGAAGATGTTTCATGATGGTAAGTTTTTAATACACACATATAATGAAAAACAAGAAACATGGCAATGCCACGAAACCAGGTTTTCAATTATCACCATTGTAGATAAATATGTTGTATTTGAAATACAAATACAAGCAACAAACAATGTAACTATGTGCAATGTAAAACATGAATAATGTAGGAGCAATTGCCATAGAAGAAGTGTTCACTATATATTCTGTATAAGGAAAAAAAACAAAGGGCCATAATTAGGTCAAAAATTATCCAATCACAAAACCCCGACAATATGCGCCAGGGCACTTGATGACAAAGCTTCTGTGAAAGTTTGAACAAAATCCGTTGAGAAATGTAGGACGAGTTCAGCACAGAAGAATTTGTTCACTATATATTGATAATTCTGTATAAGGAAAAAAAACAAAGGGCCATAATTAGGTAAAAAATTATCCAATCACAAAACCCCGACAATATGCGCCAGGGCACTTGATGACAAAGCTTCTGTGAAAGTTTGAACAAAATCCGTTGAGAAATGTAGGACGAGTTCAGCACAGAAGAATTTGTTCACTATATATTGATAATTCTGTATAAGGAAAAAAAACAAAGGGCCATAATTAGGTCAAATATTATCCAATCACAAAACCCCGACAATATGTGCCAGGGCACTTGATAACAAAGCTTCTGAGAAAGTTTGGTCAAAATCCGTTGAGAAATGTAGGAGGAGTTCAGCACAGAAGAAATTATTCACTATATATTCTATATAAGGAAAAAAAACAAAGGGCCATAATTAGGTCAAATATTATCCAATCGCAAAACCCCGACAATATGCCCCAGGGCACTTGATAACAAAGCTTCTGTGAAAGTTTGGTCAAAATCCGTTGAGAAATGTAGGAGGAGTTCAGCACAGAAGAAATTGTTCACTATATATTCTTTATAAGGAAAAAAAAACAAAGGGCCATAATTAGGTCAAATATTATCCAAACGCAAAACCCCGACAATATGCGGCAGGACACTTGATGACAAAGCTTCTTTGAAAGTTTAATCAAAATCTGTTGAGAAATGTAGGAGGAGTTGTGCACAGAAGAAATTATTCACTATATATTCTTTATAAGGAAAAAAAACAAAGGGCCATAATTAGGTCAAATATTATCCAATCGCAAAACCCCGACAATATGTGCCAGGGCACTTGATAACAAAGCTTCTGAGAAAGTTTGGTCAAAATCCGTTGAGAAATGTAGGAGGAGTTCAGCACAGAAGAATTTATTCACTATATATTCTTTATAAGGAAAAAAACAAAGGGCCATAATTAGGTCAAATATTATCCGATCTTAAAATCCCGACAATATGCCCCAGGGCACTTAATGACAAAGCTTCTGTGAAAGTTTGGTCAAATTCTGTTAAGAAATGTAGGAGTTGCGCACAGAAGAAATTGTTCACTATATATTCTATATAAAAAAAAACAACAAAGGGCCATAATTAGATCAAATATTATCCAATCACAAAACCCCGACAATATGCGCCAGGGCACTTGATGACAAAGCTTCTGTGAAAGTTTGGTCAAAATTTATTGAGAAATGTAGGAGGAGTTGCGCACAGAAGAAATTGTTTACGCCCGACCGCCCACCCGCCCGTCCGCCGACATACCTCAATCTAATAACCAGTTTTTTCCTTTGGAAAACCTGGTTAACAATGACCTCCTCCTTGCTCATTGGGTTTTTTAAAAGAAGATTTTTAAGTTTTTGCTATACACATACAGTTAAAAACAATGACACCCCTGGGGCCGGGCCAGTTTTGACCCCAGGGCTTTTATTTGAACAAACTTTGTAGACACTTACTAGAAGATGTTTTATGCTTAATATCTAAACTCTAGCTATTTTGGTTTTTTCAAAGAAGATTTTTAAGTTTTTGCTATACACATATAAGGAAAATCAATGACCCCCGGGGCGGGGCCAATTTTGACCCCAGGGCTTTTATTTGAACAAACTTTGTAGACACTCAATAGAAGATGTTTCATGCTTAATATCTAAACTTTAGCTATTTGGGTTTTTTCAAAGAAGATTTTTTAAGTTTTTGCTATACACATATAAGGAAATTCAATGACCCCCAGGGTGGGTCCAATTTCGACCCCAGGGTTTTTATTTGAATAAACTTGGTAGACACCCATTAGAACATGTTTCTTGCTAAATATCTTAACTCTAGCTCTTTGAGTTCTTTAAAAGAAATTTTTTTTAAGTTTTTACTATATGCATATAGGGAAAATCAATGACCCCCTGGGGCGGGGCCAATTTTAACCCAAGGGCTTTTATTTGAACAAACTTGGTAGACACTCATAAGAAGATGTTTCATGCTTAACATCTAAGCTCTAGCACATTGGGTTTTTTAAAAGAAGGTTTTTTAAGTTTTTACTATACACAAATAGTTAAAAACAATGACACCCCTGGGGCGGGGCCAGTTTTGACCCCAGGGCTTTTATTTGAACAAACTTTGTAGACACTCACTAGAAGATGTTTCATGCTTAATATCTAATCTTTAGCTATTTGGGTTTTTTCAAAGATTTTTTTAAGTTTTTGCTATACACATATAAGGAAATTCAATGACCCCCGGGGTGGGGCCAATTTTGACCCCAGGGCTTTTATTTGAATAAACTTGGTAGACACCCATTAGAACATGTTTCTTGCTAAATATCTTAACTCTAGCTCTTTGAGTTCTTTAAAAGAAGATTTTTAAGTTTTTACTATATGCATATAGGGAAAATCAATGACCCCCTGGGGCGGGGCCAATTTTGACCCCAGGGCTTTTATTTGAACAAACTTGGTAGACACTCATTAGAAGATGTTTCATGCCAAATATCTAAGCTCTAGCTCTTTAGGTTTTTTAAAAGAAGATATTTAAAGTTTTTTCTTTCGGTTGCCATGGCAACCAGAGTTCTGCATGGAATTAAATTCTTTGAACAATTTTTAAAGGTGACCACCAAAGGAACATTCCTGTGAAGTTTGGATGAAATTGGCTTACTGGTTTATGAGGAGATGTCAATTAAAGTAAAAGTTTACGGACGGCCGGACGCCGGACGAAAAGCAATCACAAAAGCTCACCCTGTCACTTTGTGACAGGTGAGCTAAAAATTATGACTGAAATTTTGCTGTAATTATATGAATGCAAACAATCACTGTCTAGGATGGAATCTTCAAACATTTAAGCACTTTAAAAGTGAAGAAGCCCACATTTTCAAATGTTTTAGAATTTTTTATGCAATATTTCTATTTTGTAAATTTCAGTATATAATTTTTTCCTGTGGGAATATGACCGAATATCCGCTATAGAATAAGCCAAAAATAAAGTCCCTGGAAACTGTGACATATTTACCATAAACTGATGGTGTGAATCTGGTTGTCTGGCTCTACTGCCTGCCGGGAGACGCGCACCACATGGATGTCCAAATGTCACCTTGTCTCCTTCACGTAGAACACAGCTCCCTAAATATGGTTATATATATCTCATGAATATTTGTCAAGTACTGTCAATTTATAACTTTACTATCATTGCCCTGGCTAAGTAACTAAGTTGGAATTTGTTACCCTACAGATGAGCTAAAGATGGAAATAATCTGAATGTTCTGGTCCCACAATATCCTAAATTCTAACACTCACGTGATTTTGTCACTATAGACAAAGAAGGAAAAAAACTGGTGTTAAACTGCCAATAAACACCGGTTAGGGACTACTTGTATATTCGCTGTTATATTTTCACCCTCGATTGTATAGTTTACAAAGCATTTTAAAGCAACAATAAAAAGCATTTTTATTTATATTTTCAGTTCGTATAATGTTTTCTTTTCATACAATACCGAAATAATATCTCACATACACTAACGCCACATATTAGATCCATATCAGTTAATAAATATTTTGACAAAACGGCGCCAATCCGTAATCAGCGTAATGACGTCATTCTAAATAAACAACTAATTCATAAACAAGCTGACGTTATTTCATACATACAAGAATGATAAATGTGGCACTGATGTAAACGCAATACGACGTAAGTTTTTATTGTTGAAAACTTAATAAAATAACGTTTTTTTCTTATTATTTCTTTTGTTTGATAAAATAACAGTAGGGTGCGAAAATCGAACAGCGTTATAGGAAAATTGGCACCGGAAGTTATTTCCGCTTGAAAAATAACATTAGTGATTTTCCTTATTTTATCGTGTTAGAATCGAAATAACATCGGCCGGAGAGGTGTATATCGCCTATTTAACACCGGTTTTGTCGTTTTGATGCGACATAATTAACCACTTAGGCCTACGGCCTTCGTGGTCAATTCCTACGCATCAAAACTCCAAACCGGTGTTAAATAGCCGATATACACCTCTCAGGCCTATGTTATTTCTTAAACAACACAACTTATCCTTTATATATTCATCTTATCATTTAAATATCTTAAGGGTAATTCATTTTATGAAAATCAAGAATATTATCTATTGTGCCTCAGCTTCTAACATGTAGTAATATATTTATGTATATTGCTTTTTTACTAACAATGGACACAAAAATGAACCAATTTAAGACAATGATGTTGTTTTAAGAAACTTCAATTATCATAAAATGAATATCTTGTAATTGAAGCTATGGTTAATAGCCTAATTGGTAATAAATTAATGTCAAACTACCTGCAATTTTTATATTGTTCACAAAAACTCCATTCAAGCTGTCATCATACAGTCTATGCTGGTTCCCGTTCTGCCTGACAACTCTAGCGTGACATCGAGATATACTTGCACTCTGTATGTGATTGCTTGAATCTATGTAAAAATCCACCTGTACCTCACTACGGCCAATCATATATGTTACCCTGTATAGACTGAAAATAATTATGTAAATTCAATAAGGAATTACATTGTGTGAATTGTTAGGTTAAGTTCATATTAATTAAAGCAGCAATGCAAGTCAAAGTTAAATATCTTACATGTTTGTCAGTACTATGATTCTATATGGACCTGTTTTCTCTTACAAGTACATTTATAATATGACAACTTATTGACATACACATACATGTAGCCTCCAAGCTGTGACCTGTATTAATGATTGAGAAGCTCCCATTTCTTTACATGTAACTTGGAATATTTTAGGGTATTTATAGTTGATACTGCGAAATATATTTAGAAATTTCTTACTTTGCAAATAACTTGGAATAATTTAGGGTACTTATATAAGTTAATGGTGCTAAATATATTAAGAAATTTTGTTGAAATACTGTTTTGTGGCAGCAACCTTAGAAGTTTTTTATTTTGAAAGTTGTATTTCTTCCAGATGTGAAGCTGGCATTTTAGAATTGCAAAGGGAGACCTTTAAAAAGTCCCTGCGATATAGTGATTGCAAAGGGGGACCTTTAAAAAACAACTGTGATGAAGTGAAAAAAAAGCCCTGTTAAATCATACACAATGAACAAATCACTTACAAGTGTACTGTAGCATGTTCTCGAATGATCTCAAACATCAATGGTCAACAGACATTGCCCAAACTAATGACAGTAAATTCAGAGCTCAAGATAAGCTTTTAGAGGTTTATGGCTAAAATCCATCTGACAAACTTAATTGGGAATTTTAAATATTGAATTTGGTAATTAATACCTGGGAAAATTATTGTCTTCCCAATTAATACAAACCACTTACCCATATGTTAGTAGTCAAAGGTTTTTCATCAAAGAACAAAAAAAATTGCAAGTCAGTCTAATAGTTAAATCTTCTTGCTTGAAAAAGTTTGCACATCAGTCTAATAGTTAAATCTTCTTGCTTGAAAAAAGTTTGCATATCAGTCTAATAGTTAAATCTTCTTGCTTGAAAAAAGTTTGCACATCAGTCTTATAGTTAAATCTTCTTGCTTGAAAAAAGTTTGCACATCAGTCTAATAGTTAAATCTTCTTGCTTGAAAAAAGTTTGCATATCAGTCTTATAGTTAAATCTTGCTTGAAAAAAGTTTGCACATCAGTCTAATAGTTAAATCTTCTTGCTTGAAAAAAGTTTGCATATCAGTCTAATAGTTAAATCTTCTTGCTTGAAAAAAGTTTGCACATCAGTCTAATAGTTAAATCTTCTTGCTTGAAAAAAGTTTGCACATCAGTCTAATAGTTAAATCTTCTTGCTTGAAAAAAGTTTGCACATCAGTCTTATAGTTAAATCTTGCTTGACATCTTACCAAAGAAACTGTATTAATTTAAAATCCTTAATAAAAGCAAAATAGATATAACTCCCTCTGTTTATTTTTTCTTTGCCAAAAAGTTTTTTTAATCCCTTAGACATAATACAATCTGTCAGACCAATGATAAGAATAAATCGCTGCATCCACCTATTAACCTTTACAGATTGCAACATATTAAGAAAGAGAAAGAACATGCAATGACCTAAATTAATGTTGAATCAATTCTGGCTTTTTTCAAGAATGACTAAAATCTGCCCAGCCTGTATGCCTCACTATAACAATGCTAATAAATCTATTGGGTAATTTATTAAAACAACTGAGTTGTTGTACCCGGAGATTTTATTTATTTGAGTAATTGAACATGTATAACTATTAACACAAATACAGAGCTTATCTGGAGCTCTATAAATTCTATAGTTTATCAACTTTACTTCAAAATGGTTACTTATATTACTTCCTAGTTTCATTATCACTTCCTAACTAAATTTATGTAATCGGTTTGTCTTGCTTCGAATTAAGAACATTCCATTAAACATTTAATCAAAATACTAAATCAAAGCTAAACAACAATTTAGTTTGGTCACTTAACAGATATGCATGCTTGCATCAACCCCTTGTTTCTATTTTGATATCAATGATCTATATAAACACCACTAGCACTTACACATTACAACTAGCCTACCGGCAGCAACAGATTATATCCATGCAACCTGGGCCCCAAGGTTATAAAGATATTCTCATGGTTCAAACTCAGATCTCAGGCATTTGATTGGTCAGAAATAACAATGTACATTTACCAATGAAAATCATGCGATATGAGACAGTGCAAACCAAATAAAGCTGGGACATCTGTGCCGTCACTGTCCACTATTCAGTAATTCATCTTTTTAATTTTCCCTAAAAATGAATGTTTTTGCTCAGACTGAAATATGGAAAATCCATATATTAAGTGTGGTTTAGGTTAATTAAATCAGTACTTACTCCATGACGTTAATCACCCTGTCTTTATTGGGAGGTCCTATCCTTCTCAGATGATACATGGGTAATCCACTTAAATTCTTGTTCATTCTGTCTGTCCCCATCTTTTGTTTAATTTACAGCAATCTGTTAATCTTTGTTACAATTAACCTGGTAAAATAATATTTACTTATCATTACTTGAAACTTCACACTGTACATTTACTGTACAATATATGCTGGGTTTTACGTGTTTACATCAAGTACAAAATGACATGCAGTTATAATGTTTCCGTATGCATGTGCATGATAAATACATATTATTTTTTATAGAATTACATGTACAAATAATGCAATAATTACATCTTTAAGTCTCTGTAAAAGTAATAGAACTCATTCAGATACAAAAACTAAACACAAGTAAAATAAACAAGTTTGCATGTACAATTCTATTTTTAAACCTATAGATTTACTCATTCAGATACAAAAACTAAACACAAGTAAAATAAACAAGTTTGCATGTACAATTCTATTTTTAAACCTATAGATTTACTCATTCAGATACAAAAACTAAACACAAGTAAAATAAACAAGTTTGCATGTACAATTCTATTTTTTAAACCTATAGATTATCAGATATCATTACCGGTACTAGAAAAATAAGTTCAGATAAAGCCAAATCTATCCCCCTCCTCATTATTGGAGGCATAAAAATTATCACCTACAAAAAATAGCAATTAACAATTTAATTACATTTTTTTCAATCAAAAGAGATATCTTAAAACTCATTAAAATCCATTACAATATTGCATACACCATTTGCAAGACAATTACATGTATTTAATACCCCGGTCACATATTCACGGAATACGCCCACGGAAGAGCCACGGATTAATTCCGGCATCGTCCGTAGCTACCCGTACTGGTCAGTAGCTCTCCGTATTGTAACCGTAATCAATCGTAGTAGTCCTTGTATATCCGTAGCGATCCTTGACAATTTTTGAACATGCACAAAAATTTGCTACGGAAAAATCAACCGTAGCGTGTCCCTGCTAGTCCGTATTAAACCGTACTAATACGTACTGGTCCGTACGAAAACCGTACTAGTCCGTACTCATCCGTAGTCCACCAACTTGTCAAGGATTTCCACGGTTTGGTACGGAGAACTACGTATTTGTACGGTTACCCTACGTATAAGCTACGGTTTTAATACGGATAAATACGGCATTGTCACGGAAAGCTACGATCGTAATACGTTGTACTACGGAGAGGCAAGGATTAGCACGGTCTTATACGGTTTATTGCGTTGCAACACGAAACGGTACGGAATGGTACGGTCCACCACTGTTAAGTACGGATGCATTAAGTATCATGTACTTTTTCAAGGGTATGAATACTACCTTCTTGTTAAAAACAGACATATTTGCGGGAACATAAAATAAATGATAATTGCCATTTACTGGCCGCAACTTTATATTGAAATGGCTAAGAATGCTGAGGCAGTGGTCGATCTGCTTGATGGCATGCATAGAAGTAAATTTATATTAATACCGTACTACAACTCATAAGTAATAGAATAACATCTAATGTTCCATATTTTACAAACATTGGATCGTGAAATTGGAGTAAATATGTACATAAAACGAAGTGCTCATAAGCCTCGGACGCTGGCCCTTGATCGAGTGATAATAAGATTGATTAACGAGCTTTTTACATATTTGTAAAACATAAACATTCACGATTATTAATGTAATTGTTAAATGAACAGCAAATCTTATAATTAAAAGAGAAGCAGTATTGATCGACATTTTTCATTAATGATTACTAGTCCATATCTAATCAGGTAAGAGAAGACAGACGAGATGGTGAACTAGAGATGGACTTTTACCAAGACAGCTTCATGTTTAGTATGAGGCTCTCATGGCCGAACTTGTTGAGGATCAAGCGTCCTTCAAGAAATTCACTTTAATCGGACCTGATGTGTCTCGGGGGTCGGACGCGATTAGGCCGTATCCTCTTCGCCAAAACCATTGAACTCTGCAATTCGTTTTCTAGGTGTTCTTTTTATGTGAGGCATTTTGAAAATGAACAAGCAAGAGGTTGTGGACGGATATATAAGATCCGTATAGATCCGTGGCAATTCGTTCTTCTCCGTATCAATTCGTTCTTCTCCGTATCAGACCGTACTTATTCGTACTAACCCGTGCATATACCGTAGCAGACCGTAGTGTATCCGTAGCGCGTCCGTCCTGATTCGTGTCGCTCCGTATCAAACCGTGTCGGTCCGTAACAATCCGTGTCTCTCCGGGGACTTTTGGTGGTAAATCCGTCGGACTCCGTGCTCATACCGTTGTGTGTCCGTACTGGAACCGTAGCGGACTACGGAATTTCACATTTCCGTAGTAATCCGTGAACGATTAGACCGTAGCTCTTCCGTGGCATTATCCGTGAATATGTGACCGGTGCTTAAAATCCAGATTATAGATAACGGTTGCCAGTTGATAAAAAAGTGTAAAACTGATAACCCCCAACTCCCACCAAAGAGATAAGTTTATTAAATATAACACAACTGTTAACATACCACAAACATTAACACAGATATCAATCAATATAACATGTATATTGCCCTATTAAGACTTTCTCCCTTGGACTGGTCAGTCCTATGCATTTGCATTTACACCAGAGACCTGCTGAGTTTCAGTATGGGCTTATCAGTTAGTAAATCATTTTCAACTGTATAAATCCCATTAACAGGTCCACTTAGTTGAAAGTCTTTTTATCACTAATTGGCCATCTGTATTCTAATAATGGCCCTAAAGACCCCCCTCTACACACAATAAAGCATCATATTCCCTTGTCTTTGCCTAATTATATGTTGAAAGGGCCATTTATATAGCTTATCTAAATGTAACATGAAAGAAACTTGACTAGGTGTAGTTGACATAGTGCTTGATGCATCTTATTTTAAAAGATAAACACATTTATATCAGTTTTTTTTTGCTCTATTCTCTGTGGTCCATTTGAAATGATGAAACTTAGCAATAATTTGTAAATAAAATCTATACCACAATATTAATTTTAGCTACTCTAAAATGAATTATATGTTGGGTTAGTGATAATTATCTTCTTTATAAATAAAGTTCCATAGTAAAGTGTCACTGTTACTCATGTTTAAAGACATTAACAATGTGTCAATAACTATGATTTAACAAAAATTAATTGTGAAAATAGATACATGTACTTGTGGATTTGTGAATTATTCCATATTTTGGTCCCAAAACTGCATGAAAAAAAAAAAAAATTTTTTTTTTTTTTAAAAAGAACTGAACCCTGCAGGGCAAAGTAAAGGTGCCATGACATTGCAGGGCCAAAACACCCATTTTTGGGAAAGGGGCCTCAGCCTTTTTCTTGGGGAAGATATACATGATTTTGGCATACATGTACTTTGGGAAAAAGGGGTCACAAATTTAACACAAACTTTAAACAAGTTCTTCAAAATAGAAAAAGCAAAAAAGCACTATGAAATACTAATAAGGCAGTAAAAGACCTTAATTTAAACACCAACAATTAATTGTGCCCTACTATGGGGGGGGGGCATTTAAGATTTACTCTTGTCTGTCCGTCCATTCTCTTTTTTGTGTCGCACGTAACCTCAAAAAGTAAATGACCTAGAGAGTCATGAAACCTTACAGGAATGTTGATCAGCATGTGAAGTTGTGCACCTGGGTATTTTCGAGTGGATACTATTTTTTAGAGTTATTGCCCTTCAATTAGTAAAATTTCCAATTTTCAACTTGTGTCACACATAATTAAAAAAGCATTTGACCTAGTCATGAAAGTTTAGCACAGAATGTTCCTCAGCATGTGAAATTGTGCACCTGAGTATTTTCTTTTACTTTTTTAT